CAGCAAGAAAAACTGATAAACATTAGTTGGTTATTTTGTTGGGTTTGGCATTGGATATAGAAACAGGCTGAAGTATGACCTTCGGCGCTGTTGTTGTTGTTGTTTGTTGTTGTCGATTTCAATACAGTCTTTAAGAAAACTTCTTCCGCCTTCTTGAAATATTTTTTTTTTTGCAAAAAAAAGAAAGCATTTTAGCTTTTTTTTTTCGTTTCTCAGCAATAATAACAAAAAAACTATTTCATTTTATTTGATAGTTCAGTTTTTGAAATAGTTGTTGGTGCAAGTGGGCTTTACAGCACACTTCACTGTAACGGCACCATAACATCACATGAACCGTGCAAATCGCATTCAATCACATTGCGGTTAATAGAGCGAAAAGTTTTGAAGAAAAATAAGAAGAAGAAGAAAAAGAAGAAGAAGAAGAAGACGTGGACGGAAGGATGTGTTTGATGGTGATAATGTTGACTGTAAAATAATAATAACAAAGTTGGAGGAACAACTGGAGCAGCAGCTATATTTCTGACAGCTCCAAACTGTATAGCTATCAAAGATGCTCAGATTTACGTTGCTAATAATTCTACATATACATCTGAACAAACATATGTTTACAAATGTTAGCGTCATCATTACAGCATTGTCGTCAGCACTGTTCAGCAGAACGATACAGAAACAACGGTTTTATTGCTTAAACGTTTTGACACCTGTTTTCTACGGTGTACCAAATCTGTAGATGCTTTTCAAGAAAGGGAAAGTGTAGGAAGGTATATACGGTGATGGCGATGACGACGACTACGACGACGACGACGACGACGACTACAATGGTGTTTTTGATGGTGTCCTGATCGGCTTTCTAGCAACAATTATACTGTTTTAGAACAGGCACTTTTAACCTGAAAAAAAGCAAGCAAGAGGTGGGGGAAAAAAAAAAGACAAATAACACGGCGGAAAAATCATCACTGTTTGATCGCCTGTATTCCATTGGCAAATGATGACGTGCAATGATATTTTCAAAGTTTTCAGGAAGTATTACTGTTGACATAATATCATCAAAACAGAGACGAAAGGTATAGCGTCGTGATCATTTCACTCAGCAATGAGAAAAAAAGAAGAAAAAGGAAAACAAAACCTTTGTTTATATTAATTCTGAAAATGGTGCATGGAAAAAGGTGGAGAGGAGAGGAGAAAAAAGAAGTCATTCATAAAATTTTGTTTATCGATTTTGAATCCAGTAGTTTTTTTTTCGTCGTCATTTTACAAAACCATTTCTAGACATTTCGCTTCACCTGAATAATGTGTGTTTGTCAAAAAAAAACTTACTCCTTGTCATTTTCTGTTCTTTTCTATTTTTTTCCTTCTTCTCATTGTTGTCGTTGTTTGTGGGGTTAAGAAAAATAAAGCAGATAAACATATAATTTGATAATGAACAGAAAGAGCTGGTCAAGGAGGACGGGGAGGAGGAAGTGGATGAGGATAAGGATGGGGATTTTGATGATGACGTTGGTGATGATGACGGCGATGATGACAGTTTATGGCAGCGGCAGTACACACAAAGCGAAACTTTTTGGTTGCCTGTCTAATTTGGTTTTCTTTTTACCATTTCGGGTTTGTATTTGTCATTTTTTAAACCAAAAAAAAAAAAAAAAAAAAA